ACTACATTCTTGATAGACATGGTCTTGAAGCATTTACTTGACTCCTCCATGCACCCACATTGTGCATACATGTCAAGAATAGCATTCTGAACAGGTAAACACGACTCAAACCCGTGCCTAATTACTAACCCATGAACCATTTTTCCATTAATCACGCAGAAAATATCAGCACAAACTGAAACAACACTCACCATCGTCATAACATCAACTTCATATCCTTCCAATCTCATCCTCTCAAAACAAGACAACGCCATCGTTCCCTCTGAATATTGCGCCAGACCAGAAATCAATGAATTCCAAGACCCCACATCTCTTTGGGACATACCATTAAACAACTCAATAGCTTCCAACGTCAAACGGAATCTGCACAACCCAAAGATCATGCTGTTTGTTACAATAACATCTCTTTCAGTAACTTCATCGAACTCTCTTCGAGCTTCATCTATGCCACCACATTTAGAGTACATATCAACAAGGGATGTCATCAAAACCGTAACTCTATCAAACCCATGTTTGAGTATCATGCAATGAACTTGCTTTCCTTCCGTTATTCCCGCAGCCCTAGCACTGGCCCTAGCAACTGCAGAGAGAAGGAACTCTGTGATTTTGGACCCAACTTTGTGAACTTGGTGGAACAGAATAATTGCTTCACGACTCTGCCCTTGGTTTATAAAAGAAGTGATCTTCTTAGCGTATGTTAAGCTAGTTTGAAGCATTACATTCAATGGTGTCTGTATTCTGTAAAATACAGGCTTGCATTGATACCGTGTGAAACATAGTGTGTCCACGAAAAGTACAATTGAACTAAAAGTCTTTTTCTATTGTTTCCCCTTAAACGGCATCGTTTTATATAAATTAATACCTTGATAAATTTTCTACCGACCACGTGTTGATTCCAATAGAAACGATTCGATTGGTACTAATTAAAGTCTCAATTTTTAAAAATATAAATATTGAATGATTTTTTTTGTAAAATCTAATATAATTTAATTTTAAATTAATTAAAATTTAATATAAATATCAAATATTAAAATTAATATAAAAATAATAACATAAAAATATTTTTTATATTATTTTTTAAATAATTTTATATATTTAAATATATTTAATATTATAAATTTTAAATAAATAAAAAATTAATTATTTTATTTACGCATCAATTTACATTAAAAAAATAATAAAAAAATTATCTCTAAATAACTTTCCTACTCCACGTTGCAGCGAATCCCAGCCCTAACTGCTCCGCGAAGAAATCGGTACCACACCGCTTTTTATAAAGAATTAAAAAATAAATAAATAAATAAAGGAAGGAATATTTCGGAGTTTTCCTGACCTTTCTGTCTCTGTTTCTCCACTTTTCTACTCTTTCTATTCTGATTTTCTCGGCACCCGAAGGGCGCTCAGATCTAATCTCTATTCCTCAGGTAGCCGATACATTCAAGTAATTCCTATTTTTATGTATTTGTCGCCGGCGGACTATGCATTGATGTTTCTGTGATCTTTTGTAGGGAATTGATTGACTCAAGAGTGTTTGTTGAGTAGAATTTTGATCTGATGGAGTCGTCCTCGAGTCAGCCGGAATTCGACTACTTGTTCAAGCTGTTACTGATTGGGGATTCCGGCGTTGGGAAGAGTACACTGCTTTTGAGTTTCACTTCTGATACCTTTGAGGAGCTCGGTCCTACTATTGGTGAGATTTTATTCCTCTTTGTTTTTAGTTAATTTTTCTGAGTCAAAATTTGTGAAAGATAAATTAAAAGCGTTTGATTTTGTAGGGGTGGATTTCAAGGTGAAGCATGTCACTCTTGGGGGTAAAAAGTTAAAGCTTGCAATTTGGGATACTGGTAAAGCTTCTCTCTGTTTTCAGGTTTTCCATTGCTTCAGTTTGGCTATGTCTTGTTGATATGTTGAAAGTTTGTTGTGAATTTGCTAAGTTTAAGATATTTTAAATTTCTTCATATTCACTTGTTGCAGCTGGACAGGAAAGATTTAGAACATTAACCAGTTCATATTACAGAGGTGCTCAGGGGATTATAATGGGTATGTGCTGCCTTCAGTTGCTTTCTTCTTCTGCTGCTGCTACAGTGATTGCACTGCTGTTATTTTTCTGATATGGTGAAGTTGAAATTCATATGATAATTGAACATTATTATCCACCGTGTCTTTGCTGCATGCCTGTGGTGTTTTCATTTCATTAGTTAACCATGAGGTCTCAGTTCTATAATGTTGAACTTAATATAATAATTCAATTGGGGCTAGTCTTCCACAGTGGAGTGAGAAACTCTTTTTACTTGACTTGAATTTTGAGAAGATTCATATGTCGTAAACATGGGTCTCAGACGTTAGTGGAGGAGGAAGTCTCCAGTATCTCTGAGATACATCCCAGTGCACTTAAATAATATGTGCTCCTCAGGATTGTCCAACCACAATTACCGTGACACTAGAGAATTTTTGTGCTGGAGGCCTTAATCTCATAGATCCAATTCTAATACTAAATTTTCTAACATAGGCATGAACGTGATTGTCTCAAATTGGATATGGTTTGAAGCGTATCCTTTTTTTGGTTCATGCCATCAAAAAAATATTATAATAGAACTATGAACTTTCTCAAGCTTGACTTGTGTGCTGCCTACCCCTGACTTTAGGGTCTTTAACAAAAATCTTGTTGCCTTAGTTTCATGTGCATTGAGGTAATTGCAGATGGAGATTTGAAGTTTTGTGTCTTTTAGTTATGCCAATTTTGGAGTGAATGAAGAAGCTTCTGAACTTTTTGGTCCTTTTTCTTAATTGCTCTGGTTTTTCCATCAATTTTAATCCTTGTTGGCCTGCCTCTATTTGAGACCTAGTTTCAATAGTTTCCTTGTATGTGCTCTTAAAGATGTCTGCTTTGGCCATGAATAGACTTGATTTCTGAAAGCTGATTAAATGTGAATGCTCTTGTTGTTTTATTATTTGGTTCAAATGTAAATTAGACTTGCTAATGGTGCTTAGAAGCTGTTATGCTGATGCAGTATTTTACCTGTGGTATTGAGACAGTATATGATGTAACACGGCGGGAAACATTTACAAATCTATCTGATATATGGGCTAAAGAAATTGATCTGTACTCAACAAATCAGGACTGCATCAAGATGCTTGTTGGGAACAAAGTTGATAAGGTATGTGATTGAAGAAGTAGCACAATTTTCCCTTTAGTTTGACCAATATTGTCTCTGTTTGTGTCTATGTCCCTTTTTGCTCCAGTTAGCAACTTGGAGTTCATTTGAATCTTTCTCATGGGCCTATTTGATGTTATGGAGAATGATTCTTGAGTGTTATTTTATGCATAGAATTTAATGGTACAACTCTCATTGGTTGTCTTTTGCAGGAAAGTGAAAGGGTTGTCTCCAAAAAGGAGGGTAGTGACTTTGCTCGGGAATATGGATGCCTCTTTATCGAGTGCAGTGCAAAAACTCGAGTGAATGTAGAACAATGCTTTGAGGAGCTTGTCCTAAAGGTAACTAAAACCTGGGTACTTTATTCTGTATTTGGTAGCTTTCTGTTTATTAGATACTTCTGCAAAGATGCAAGTTTATGTGTGTGGATGCAAGAAAGATGTGGAAGCTAATTGAAGCTTTTGAATTGGATAATTTAGTTTTTGATTTTCTGATATACTACTGTTTTGATTTCTGAAACTTCAATTAATACCATTTAATAATTTTGCATTATCCTGGAAAAGGTGTTAATTTGTTATGCTGTCAGCTTACCTCAGATAAACAGTAAAAACTGCATTTTGGTTGACATGTCTGAATGAAGGGAAAGATGCAGTGTTCTAACATGATTGAAGATCACCATACAAATTTGCTTATGCCCATATAATTATTTTGATCATTCAAATAATTATTTCCCACATCCTAGTGTTGCGAGATCCATAACTACTAATATCACTGAAACATTTATTTCCTAGTAAAATTGCTAGAATGTTTTTGATTTTAGGTGCATGGATAGGGGCCATTATTTAATCAAAATGGGCTTTTTTGAAGTTATGTCTATAAAATGAATAGTCATCCTGCCATTCAGCATCTTGATTTTTGATTTCCACTTCACCAAAAGGATTTACTTAGATGTCTTCAAGTTCTTACTTAGAAGTCTTCAAGTTCTTACTTAGAATTGTATGGATGGTTAGGTGGCAGTGGGGGCATTCATCCATACTCTTCCACTAATTTGGGGTCATATTACATGCACACACATCATTGTAAACACATCAGACACACTCAAGTTAGTTAGATATGTTGATGCTAAACAAGACATGGTTAATCTTGATTTACAGATATTGGAAACGCCAAGTCTCTTGGCTGAGGGAACGTCTGGAGTAAAGAAGAACATCTTTAAACAGAATCCACCACAAAACAGCGCCCCAACAAGTGGTTGTTGCTCATTGTGATTTACCATCAAAACGCCATTCAGACAACATTACATGATACAAACAAGCTTAGCCGTTAAACCTTGTCATCTGTAGTGCACTTACGTTCTATATGTACAATCAGTCTTTTGAAATTGCAGTATTGATGTGATAATGTTCCTTTTATTTATTTAAATTAAAGGATAATGTTGCTTTTAGTTTTCCTCCTTGAAACAAGACCTCCAAAACCCTTTTGTGTTTTCGTTTTGGTTCGATCTCTCTGCCTACGCAAAATAATAGAAGATAGACATTGATGAGTAAAATGAGTCGTGATGGTTCTTCGGTGGACTTTATTGTTGTTAGAATGTCATGTGTTTGTTTGGTGTGCTTTCTAACATAACAAGACTTCAATTGTGAAGTTTAATTTATTATAACATCTAATTATTAGTTTATATAATTCAATAATTATATTGATGTATGTTTTTTTTCAAAATAACATGGAAGGACTTGGAAAATGTAAAAATAATTTTGATTATCTAATTTATTATAAAAAATCATTAAATAATAACATAATAAAAAATATAATTCGATATATATAAATTGTACTTCATTTAAGATGAAATCCGATGAAAGAGGTAGGCTCTGGTATGGCAGAAACCCTTCACTGAGTTATAAAAAAAGCAATAAATTATTTACAATAAAAACAGTGTTGG